CCATTGTGGTCACCTAAATTCACTCTCTGTATGTAAGGATATCTCTTGGCTTGTTACAATAGCTAGAAGCCAGCACATCTAGGAAAGCTTCTGAAACCCTACGCAGAGTCAAGGCAACCTCTCACTATTAGAAAATTCAACTTCAGTGAAGCTGGGAGACAAACTCTTGCTCTTCTCTTGTGTAATATCCTTCCTGCTTCTGCTAAGACTTGATACTGGACAGAATTCTGGTCTGGAGGGACTTGACTCTCAACTGCATAGTTGTGCTGAGTGCCATCAACGGAGCTGAAACAAACTTTTTTTTCAGAGTAATTTATTATCCGTGACCTAGGTCACTAAAGCATCGCTGCTTCTCTGTGCTACGTAACCTGGATGGAACATTATTTCCCACTTAAGTAATAGGAAGCATTACTTTTGATGTTCTATTTCAGCCAATACAGTCAAAAACTATACTTTCCCACAGTTTGCTGTAAGGTCAGCATCTGGTCAGCTTTGAACCATAGGTCAAAGTATAACAAACCAACAGGATTCTGCAGTGACCCAAGTCGAAATTATATACTCAAAATGCTTTTCCTGCTACACTGCCTTGTGACTGCAGTAATTAAAATGCAGATAGCCAAAGTTAGCTGCTGAGTTAACCTTCCATGTGCACATGGAGCAGAGCAAGTTCAGTTCCCTCTAGGAAGAGCCATGGTTTTGGTCAGCTGCTGCAGTGAGAGTCACTCCCCAGTGAGTCACGGTAGCACTCCACCCACTGTAGTCCAAACCTCAAGATTTCACACAAACCTTGCAGCTGGCTTGCCACCAAGGTCTCTAGTTCTGTTGTGTGGAACCACACTAAAAACAGAAGCTTCGCCCTTTCTTCTCCTTCGCATGGAAGGAGAGCAGCAAGTTGTTCTGCTAGACTGCTTAAAAAAGCAGCATGTCCAACATTCTTCACCATCAACTTTTTAATCCTTAGGATTAAACCCATGCATTTCAGATGAGTTACTAATAGATGGCTTACGTCCACCAGTTCACAAAATCACACACCAAAACACTACTTCCTCTTTGCAGCAGACTTAAGTATTCTGCCAAGAAACTTCAATGACTCAGCTAACAAGGCAAACTTGGTGACCTTCATCCCAGTATACGGAAACAATCAGCAAATGAGCTTGTAATTCTGGCAGCAGGGACTTGGTTTTAAGTATCAAATTGCAGATAACAAAATAGGTATTTTGTTATTCTCAACAACATAGAACAATTAGTCTTACCTCCACTTCCCAAGGCTTAGAACCAAACACATGGTTTACTGAAGATCAATCACTGGACATACTGGGGCAGTCTAAATGACGAATTCAGTATAAACCACTTGGATGTCCACAGAAGGCTTAACGAGAACCCATAGTTAAACTACAGAAGACAGGAATTAGTGTGAGAGAGGATAAAGAACTTGTAAGAAAGAATAAAGGCTGTGTTTGAGAAGGGAATTTGTAGAATTCTGTTAATTTGGTCTGGAATCCATTCCAAGTTTTTCTTAACTGAGTAGGGCACAAAAGTTAGGAATAAACTGAGGATACCTGCTGACAAATCTGTGAGGTGTTACTGATACTAAGAATAATCTGAACCAGTATAAATACGTGGATCTAGACTTTTCAAATTAAAAAGTGTCATAATGCCAGGTAATTCATTTTATTCTAGTTCTATTTAGGTATATTTAAAATAGAATTTAAGATATGGTTGGTATGATATGGTAAACCCCTTCTAAGGTCAAGTTAGTGGACAGAGGGAAGCAGAGAAGATGGCAACAATGAAGTGTCTGTTAAATGCACCAGATTAGCAGCACAAACTTCCTTATCTGGAAAAACACATAGCATTAACCCAGTTCTTCAGTTTCATGAGTTTAGAATGTCAAATTTCAGTTGCTTTTTAGCTAAAGCAGAAAACAGTATCACAAAAGAGTCGACAAGGACTCCCTTTAGATATTATTCTAATCCTAGTCACCACCACCACCACCACCAGAACTCTTCTGTGCAGCATCCATCCCAAGTACCTGATAGCAGTCATAGGAAACCTGACTGATGTGTACTGCCTGTCCACTAATATCTCTTGATCTAAATGTCATCTGCAAGCCTTGCAGTACAACAGAGCACAGGGATCTGCACTTTCCATTGTGATATGCTACCTTTCTACTGCTGAGACTGGGATCAGTTGGATGCTGAAGCATTACTAGCTCCGTCCTGCAATTTTAAACCTGCGTTTCGGTTAAAGATAGCTCATCCTGCAAGTATGGATTTTGAGAAGTAACACAGAGTATTCTTGTGTGCTTGTGGGTTTCATGTGCACTTGCTCAAAGATGCTAACAAGCGTAGTCTTCCTGCGCTAGGAGGATGTGCTAATGAAACTGCGGGCTGTCAGAGGGCACTGCGCTCACTGACAAAACACGAGGTTTCATTGCCTCTTGGTGCTGCCAAGAGATGCTTTGCTGAAACTCCCTTTCTTCACTGAGGCTGACTGAGATTACATCTGAGACGTGGACTGATTTTATACATTTCTCTAACTTTTTAAAGTACACTGTATCCCCCAAGGGAACGAGAGAATCAGTCGTAATGGTAAACTCTGTTCTGAATATTATGTATATTGAGGTAAAGAAGTTTTCAAGGAGAACTTTATGCTAAGGTGAAAACCCAAGATGAGCTCAATTAAGCCAGGATACAAAAAAATCATCATAATTTGAGCAATTAAATACTTGAGTGCTAGGAGCTGGTAACACAGCCAGTTAAGCAAGGTATTTTAAAGCCTGATACTCACCAAGAAAACATGCACATTGCCAGAAATAAACATGTAATACAGTAATATCCAGTGAAGTTGTACTCATTTGGAGCAGCTATTTAAGAAAATAAAAAGGCTGAACATGTCACAGAGGACAGAAAAGTTTTTTTTAGTATACTAGTGAGGGCACTAATACAGCCAAATATAATATACAGTGTACATAGAAGCATACCCAGAGAACTATCTTGACTATTTAAAGCTAGATTTTGTCAAAGTTATTTGGAGCAATGCATCCTAAACAAACAAAAACGTCCCTAAGAAATCCAAGAAGTCTGTGGTTTACAAATCAATAGCACGTTAAAACTTGACATCCTTGGTGATGTTTCTTGACTCCCAAGCTTTTCCCACCACATTTTCTGTTGAACTTCATGTTTTTAGATAAATTTCCGTAAAGTGGAACAATTCAAATAAAATACCTTTAGGAATTCCTGTCTAGATTTTCAAACTGCAGAGAAGGAATGCCTCAGTCACCTAGGTTATAATACAGGCCAGGCTTTACAATTAAGCAAAACAAGTTGTGTTTGCAATGCTGTCCTTCATAAGAGTGGCCACTGAGATTTGAAATCAGGCGTTCAAAATTCCAGAGTCAAAGTAAGGCTCACAATGTGCCGTTCACCCAGTAAACATGGACAGAATGGATGAGATCAGATAGTTTTTAAAAGGGCAACTATGTATTTCCTACTACAATTCCAAGCATTCGTCACTGTGCTGTCTGGCATATAACAGAACCTATGGGCTGTGGTGCCTTCTGACGCCTCTGCTTTGCAGTCAATCTCTCTACCTAGGAAGACGTAACCTTCTAAGGTATCATCTTTAGTCTTCAGGTACTTGTAAGAACTGGCAAATACCTTTTCTTTGTCAGTGATCACAAATTGATCTTTCTTCTTAGAACTTTGCATTTTGTGCATAGCAGCTTATTAAACAGCATATTCAACTTGTTGAGCATTTAAAATCTTCTTACATTTTACTGGTTTCCCCAGCAGGGACTGGCAAAGGCTTACTGCAGAGGAAAGATCAGTGAGAAATTATGCTTTCCCTATAGAGCAACTTTTTTGCAGAAATTAAGAGACTTAGCCAGCTTTGCTGCTTGCTTTTTTTTTATGCCACCTATTTCAAGGTTTACTTCAAAAAAAACACCTTGACTTGGAAGTTGTTTTAACACTTATTTAATGCTTACAAATAACATTTTCAAAGAGATGAGAATCTTTGCTATACCTTCAGTTTTCATGTACCTTGCCCTTGCAATTAGAATTTAGAATTTAGCACTGAGTCACTGGGGGAATTCTCCAGATTGGAACAACCAGTACAGGATCTACACATCTGGCAAATTAGCTTTGCAGGCTTCTCTAACATTTCAAATTCATTTACCGAGGTATCAGAAATAGTCATTAGTAATTAGATGGGAACAGCTAGGTTGTAGAAGAGGGACAGTGTTACTCTATTAGGTAAAACCTCCTCAGTGCAGCTGAACAGATTTCTAAAGGCAATATTAGCCAGGACTGTAAAAAGTTACAGCTCACATTGGTATTGGCTTTCAGATAGATCTTGCACAACATGAAATAGTTTTCGGGGAGAAAATTGCAAGTGTCTATTCACATAATTTTAGCAGCAGTACAGGGTCATGAAACAGAAAATTTCTATTTGATGACACCCAACTTTTAACATCAAAACTTCATGGTGTGTAGTTTTGCTGCATTTTTCTTTTGCAAAGATGGTAGCTCCAGTACCCACCCTTGTTCAGCCACAAATGCTTTTCAAGCCCTTCTAACCATGAACTCAGTTGCTAGTTTAATTCACTGAAACCCCACTTTATGAGGGGCTAATGCTATTGAGCTTGATTTCCTTTCCCAAACAATCTGATATGCATAGAAATACCATAATGTAAACTGAATTCAGTCTCATGCTCTGTTAATACCCTGGCTGAAGAAGGGCATACACACAGCACCACTAATAAACCAGGAACAGTTCTGTAGTCCTCCATGGAAGAACATACTATGTGCAATACAAGAAGCCACGCTTTCAGCGTGCTTTAACAGCTGGCAGAAACCCCACCAAGAACTCTGCAGAACTGGAGTTGACTTGCATCCACTTTAGTTTTCCATCCTGATGCAGTATTATCCCCTTTTCTTTCAAAAGGAGATTCATTATGCAATAAACAAGAAGAGTTTTTTTCTGGACAGAAGCCACTCTTGCCATTGCAATGGAACTTTTATTTCAAATACATTCTTACAATAAAGGTACATTTTGTTATACAAGTAGATAAACCCAGGAGAAAAAAGATTCACATATTCTTTTTTAAAATAGTGGGTTCAACTAAAATGCAGCCATTCCCTTTCATCTCCTGACCTGTGTTAGGGATTTTGCAGGGCAATGGAAATAAAGATGTAAACCAAGTCATCTAGGTAATTAAGTTACGGTCCAAGGAAATCTGTACCACCACCATAGAAAAGTGTATCTGCTCATTCTTCAGGCTCTTTGAAGTGTAGGGTGGCAGAAGTCTCTTTATAAACTCAGGAGTTTTTCGTTGAGAGCAATCTGTGACTGTGTGAGGTTTGCCAAGTAGGTTACCATCAGTAGGTCCTGAGAGGGGGGAAAAAAATCCAACAGTGGGTCAGAATTATTAACAAAGATGGTAGCCTATTAGGAGTTTAATTTTTTACAGCTGTAAAACAGTTTACAATCAGCTACTAGGAATATCTCAGTCTTGAAAGTCCTACCCTGAGGAATGCTTTCCTCGCAGGAAGAAGGTTTTGGTATTCCTGGAATATGAAACACTGCTTGTAAAATTTTAACTCTGAGTTCACCCATGTTAACCAGGCAAGTCAAAGGGTATAAATGCAATTTAAAAATCACTTCTTGTCCTGCAGACTGTGGGTGAACAACGTATGTAGAAACTTTGCTTTCGCTTTCTAAAAATCTGTTACAGAAATAAGGTCGCACACTAAAACCATGTTCGTGTCTTAAGTGTTACATAAGGAGACAGAACTTCAGCTCAGGCAAAGGAAGCTGGCAAGGCACCAGTTATCCTTCAGATCCACGCTGCTTTAAGCCTGGTAATTCACACTGTCCAGTCACTCTAAAAGAAGAATTGGTGCTGACTTTCAGATTACTTGCATAATTCCTAGGTACTTGAAAATTTATTCTCTCATTTGCAGTTGCTTGCAAGATAATTATGGTGAGCTCCTTTATCCACCTTCAGGTCTTAAAACACCACATTAGAGAAAAGAAAAGGCTGTATTTTCTGTTCACATGTTTGTATAAAAAGACAGTTTGTTTTCATAATAGACAAACTTGTGTCTGTACGGCAGATTTTAAAAATTGCTGGCAGTACATTGAAATAATTACAATGAACTTACATTGATATTGCTGTTCAACATTGTCTCAAAGTCCTCTGGTGAAATCTTTGGCACCTGGTTAATAAGATCCATCAGGAAACGCCCAACAGTGTTGTCAGCAGCCACTTTGCCAGACTAAGCATAAGAAACATACACTTCAATGTGAGTAGAAGTCAGCAAGTTTATGGTCCAGGAAGATAATATATAAAAAGGAAAACAAGATGCACAAGCTCACATCAAACTTATTTACTTGCTCATAAAAAGCTGGCCTTACCAATACATCTTCTGCATACTGGAGCACCATGGTCAGGGTATCCTGAATCCTGGCTGATGCTGACCCCACCTGCTGTAAGTCACTGGACAAGCCAATCACTCGATTGGGGCTGAAACAAGTCTTCATGATAAGATCCACTGAAAGCAAAAGGAGGATCGGTGAAAAAAACCCGACTGCCCAAGAAAATAACTTAAATCTTTAACTTTCTGAAGATTTTTTTACAACAGCTTCAGCAGGACAGTCTGATTCTCACTAGGATGGCAATTTTACTAGGGTAAAAAAAAAGTAGTCGGTGTCACAACAATGGTTATAACCAAAACAGGAAGAAAACATTCACCTCCTATCCGTTCTGTATCATAATAAACATATTTCACTGTCAGAGGTGTGAACATCACGCCCATAGTTTTACCAGGGACTCCCATTGGGGCACTAGGAAAAGAAAAGAACACAACAAAACATTTTCAGCATGGACATATTTAAGGGAGGAAGTCATAGATTTCCATCTCAATGATCTCTGTTAGCACTGAAGTGTGAACATGAGGAGGTTACTCATTCTCACCAAAATCAGCAATATTAAGAGCATGGATAACTGAGGACAGGAAATCAGTCCTAGCGTACTATTAATGGCTCTATTTTCATCCAAGAATATTCCTAGCTGGTCTGACATCTGTCAGAATGCATGAAGAGCTAAGTGCTGTCATCTTAGCCACAGTTCCTTCTTGCTTATAAAGCAGGTGTTCTATCCTGAAATACTCCATACTTTGAGAAATCACTTAAGGAAGAAACACCAATACTATAAAAATTCAAGTACAAAGCACTCTGAACACCTTTATTATTCCTATTATTCAAGGTATTTTAAGTTCATTTATTCTTTAAGATGTCATGGAACAGCTTTCTTTTTGAAGATGCACAGTCAAGAAGCAGTAGACTTCTGCTGTAAAGAAAGGCTGGGGTTTTATGCTAAAAGTGAGCTCTTCAGCCAGTACTGGGAAGAACACAGAGGAGGAATAGTTTAATTTCTCAATATTTAATCCCCATTATTCATTGATAAAAATGGAAGGGATTAAGGGGAAGAAAGATTGATCAAGAAGATGCTGTTTCAGTTATGTTTTAACCGCACTAATCCTCCAACTTGTGTAAGCTGCCAAGCAATAAAGCCCAGTGACTACAGGCTAGCATTCAGTGTGATGGAAGCTAGTGACATTAGTGGTAGCTAGATGAATCCTGTGAACCATCATGAAGATGTTCAGAACACTACTGAAGTTAATTAAGTCACAATTCCCCATCCCAATGAAGTACCAGCTTACGAAGCTTAGGTTTTGCAACTTATGTATGACAGTCAAGACACTTTAATGGGAAGTAAGCCACGATCCCTGGCTCACTGCTGCATCTGAGCTACTGCACAGCGTTGTCCAAAATGGTACGCTGCAGCCTACTACATTTCGTGTTACCCTGATGTGGTCTTTTTCAGTGCTTCAGTTAGCTCCCCTCCCAGAAATGCAGCATCCCAGAGTACCTGACGTAGGCTTTAATGCTCATGCGTGAATTCTGGAGACTCGTGTCCACAGTCAGGTGGATTGGATTGTGCGCTTCCCGGCTGTAATACTCGTGGATCAGGACAGAGTGTTCCGTGATGTCATGGCCCGTTGCATACCTTCAAAAAAGCACAGGCTGAGGAGCCATTCTTCCAACATTCGACTGCCCAGTATTTGGTGCTGTTGGTATTTGATAGGTTTGTGTCCTGCAAAAGCATACTAAATACAAGCAGGGAATCTGTAGCTTTATGGCCAGCTGTCCTAAAATTGTAGGAATCACAGGCTGAGCACACACATGCTCAAACCATGTTGTAGTACGAGCTATAAAAAGTCAGTATAGTTGACATCAGACACCTAAGGCTTAGCTATCTGTCACCGTGCTCTGGACCAACTCTTTATTTCAGTGTAAGTCAAAGCACGCCAAACAAATTTGGACCAACCAAGCAGATCTGTGTGCAGGAGGTAGAACTTGTTAATCTAGTCCTTTAGCTGCTCTGCCATTAGCTTCTCACATGCACAGGAAAACTCCTGTTACCAGAACTGCACTTTGCTGTGCCATCAGAAGGCTGTTGAGGAAGTTTGCTCCTCAGGAACAGAACTAAGCTATTTTGTAGGATCAGAGTAGCATGAAAAGACTAATCACAGAATATTAGGAGTTGGAAAGGACCTTGATAGACCATCCAGTCCAACCCCCCTGCCAGAGCAGGATCACCCAGACCAGGTCACACAGGAACCCGTCCAGGTGGGTTTTGAATGTCTGCAGAGAAGGAGACTCCACAACCTCTCTGGGCAGCCTGGTCCAGGACTCTGTCACCCTCACAGTGAAAAAGCTTTTCCTCATGTTCAGATTGAACCTCCTGTGCTCCAGCTTGCTCCCACTGCCCCTTGTCCTGTCATTGGCTGTCACTGGGAAGAGCCTGGCTCCTTCCTCCTGACACTCGCCGTTTACAAATTTATAAACATGAATGAGGTCACCCCTCAGTCTCCTCTTTTCCAAGCTAAAGAGGCCCAGCTCCCTCAGCCGCTCCTCATAAGGGAGATGCTCCACTCCCTATCTACACACTCAGACACAGTCTGTTCCCATAACATCCTACTGATCTTGCTTCACATCCCCTACACAAGTACTTTCACCTTTTCTCAGCAGAGAACTTCTGCATGCTCATGCTGGTATCACAGACTGCCCCTGATGCCTGCAGTACTTTAAACTACTCTTCTGTGTTCCTTGTCCTTTCTAAAGTTACCTACCATGGTGCAGGGTGTATTGCAGGTAGCTAAGTTCTAACAAATCTGTGCAAATGTTTGGACTAACTCATCACTCCTCTGGAATACTTTTAAATCCTGTCAGTCTCCAATACCATCTCTTACTATGAATTGCAGAACTGACTCTATAACAGGAGTTGCAAGATCTTACTGTCACAAGCATTGGTGCTTCTGCTTCTCAACCTGTGACAAGGAAAATTTTGTGTTTCAAGTAGTTTAAGGGACCAGCAGAACTGACGAATGTTCATGCAAAAGGAGAACTTACCAGCCCAAGATGATCTCGCTAGGAGACACCTTCTTGTGCAACTCATACATGTTTTTGGCAAATTCCATATCGACTGCCACCTGAGAAACGGGACAGGACCACGTCAGCTGGTTACAGGGATGCATAACCCTTAGCAGAGGACAACACGGGCACCTAAAAGCCACCATCGCGGGGATGCAGAGGAACCGCACCCCTCGGCAGTCGCCGCCCCCGCCCCACTACCAGGCTCACTCCTGCTCCGCGGCACAGTCCGGCCACGCCGGCCCCGCTCCGCCTAGGCCGCCCCCATGCTCCGTACCTCATCTTCGGACTCGTTGTGGGGGACAGAGAAGCAGTTGGTGACCTCCACCGAGTGCTTGTCCACGGTCCCTGCGGGAGGGCAGCGCGGTTAGGGGGGACGCCGCGGGGGCGGAGGGGCTGCCCCCCGTCCCAG